CCAGTACTGGCCCCATCTCTGGAGCCCCAATGTCCCATCCTCCTCATCTAATCCTGTGCTGCCTCCCAGCCACCAGCTAAGCATTGCTGCCTAGGTCGTGGCTGCTCTAATGCTGCCATGCCGGGTTCTGCACGGCCCTCTGGCCACACAGCTAACCACTCTTCTACATCCAGTAGGAGACCCCCACCCTTTCCTGGCACCCAGTACTGGCCCCATCTCTGGAGCCCCAATGTCCCATCCTCCTCATCTAATCCTGTGCTGCCTCCCAGCCACCAGCTAAGCATTGCTGCCTAGGTCGTGGCTGCTCTAATGCTGCCATGCCGGGTTCTGCACGGCCCTCTGGCCACACAGCTAACCACTCTTCTACATCCAGTAGGAGACCCCCACCCTTTCCTGGCACAGGTTGGCTGAGAGGTGGCGGCAGGGGAGGTGCTGGGCAGTTTACTCCAGCCCTGGTCCCCAGAGCTGCCATGGCCCAACGGCCAGCGGTTTGAGGCCCATCACTGGTCCCCAGACCAGTGGTTGGGAACCACTGTTCTAATAGGTTAACAATGTCTTGTCTTAACATGCCTCCAAGGCATCACGGAGAGATGCGGCACATAGGCAAGCTGTAGACATGAGAGTCTTTAGGTAAAGATTAGAGGCAAGAGCAACAAAGTTGATGTCATGGTAGGCGTCTGCTATAGACCATCAGACCAGGAAGATGAGGTAGACAAGGCTTTCTTTGGAAAGCCAACAGAAGTTTCCAGATCACAGGCCCTGGTTTTCATGAGGGACTTCAATCGTCCTGACATCTGCCGAAAGACCAATATAGCTGTGCACAGACAATCCAGGAAGTTTTTGGAGTGTTGGCTACAACTTCCTGATGCAAGTGCTGGAGGAACCAACTAGGAGTCATGATCTTCTAGGCCTACTGCTCAGAAACAGGACAATTGGTAGAAGTAGAAATAGATGGCAACCTAGGCAGCAGTGACCATGAGATAGTTGAGTTCAGGCCCCTGACAAAAGGAAGAAAGGAGAGCAGTAGAATACCAGACCCTAGACTTCTGTAAAGCAGACTTGGACTCCCTTGGGAAACTGATGAGCAGGGTTCCCTGGGATGTTAATATGAGGGTAAAGGAGTCCAGGAGAGTTGGCTGTACTTTAAAGAAGTTTTATTGAGGGCATAGGAACAGACCATCCCAGTGTGCAGAAGGAACAGCAAATATGACAGGCAACTTGTGAGCTTAAACAAAACAAAACAAACCTTACAAGAAGTGGAAACTTGGACAGATGACTAGGGAGGAGTATAAAAACTGCTTGAGCAAGCAGGGGTGTAATCAGAAGGCCAAAGTGCAATTGGAGTTGCAGCTAGCAAGGGATGTGAAGGATGACAAGAAGGGTTTCTACAGGTATGTTACCAACAAGAAGCAGGTTAGGGAAAGTGTGAGACTGATTAAATGACAGATATGGAAAAAGCTGAAGTTCTTGATGTTTTTTTGCCTCAGTCTCTACATACAAGTTCAGCTCCCAGATGGCAGCACTCGGCAGCATGGTATGGGTAGGAGGTGAGCAACCCACAATAGTGAAAGAGCGGGTTAAGGAATATTTAGAAAAGCTGGATATGCACACATGTCCATGGAGTGCATTTGAGGGTGCTGAGAGAGTCGTCTGGTGTGGCTGCAGAGCCATTGGCCATCTTCTTTGAAAATTCATGGTGATCAGGGGAAGCCCCAGATGACTGGAAAAAGGCAAGTGTAGTGCCCATCTATTAAAAAGGGCAGACGGAGAATCTGGGGAACTACAAAACAGTCAGCCTCACCTCAGTCTCTTGAAAAATTATGAAGAGCCCTGGAAAGCCAAACTACAGTTTTGGGAGGTTGAAGAGGCTTCGCTAATGAAGAATAAATGCCTTTTGACTTAAAAAATGTTAGCATGTTTCTGAGGACAAGTCTGCCTGCAAGAGAATTAGACAAAGACACCAAGAGCATATGGGGCCTAGTATTTTGAGGTTCTATTGGTATCTGTTAGACAAAGGAATTTTTATGTTTAGGAGTGGAAACATTGTAGCTAGTTGCTTCCCAAAGTGCCTTTCATGGTCTTTTGTGTGTGATAAAGATTTATTTCTTATTGGAAGGATAAGAATTGATCATACACAGAAACTGGACTGCTCTCTAACCCCAGGAGGTAGTTTGTCACGTCAGAGATTATATATGTTCTATAGAAAGAGGATTTAATTCCGTAGGCTGTTAGAGTCATATGTAATTTCTAATGCAATAATCACTGATTAAATGTGCATATTTATGGTATTACTATGTATAATTTGATGGAAATATTGTGTTTGCATTATAGGTGCTACACCCCGCAGTGGAGACACTAGATCTTAGAGACTGTGATATTTCAGATAATGCCCTGCTGCAAATTAGTAATTGCAAGCAACTGAAAAAAATTAACTTAAATTCTTGTAGAGAAAACAGACTAGCCATCACTTCAGAAGGTATGTTTCCTGTACTGGTAGAATCTGAATCTATCTTCTGTTTTCTTTCTTTCTGTTGGGAGAGTTGGAGAAAATTGTGAAAGCAATTAGTGTAAATTATTAAACACACGTTGGCAAAGTTATTTTAGTCAGTTATACACAAAGAACATACATTCCTCAGGAATTTGTTTAATTTCATGTTGCTTGGTTACAGCAAACTCTTTGTAGAGCCGATCCAAAAATTAGTGGACCATTTTTAACAAAAAAAATGCAGTTTTGTAGGAAAGTTGATTTTAACAAATTTTTCCAGAGGAAAGCATTAAACTGTTTTGACTCTCATTTTGTATGGGTAACATCAAAATGTTTATTTTTTACTTTATTTGTTTTGTTAACGTTTTTAAAATCATATTTATATTAACTTGACATTATCAAAATGATTCAGTATTTCCTAAAAAGTATTTTCTATTTTTGGTGTAAATTTAAAAATATCAACCTTTTATTAGAGCTAGAAATAAAGCCATATTTTGAAATGTCAGAATTAGCCAGGAGCCAGCGGCAGCCCTGGGTCCAGAGGCAGGAGCCGCCTTCATGTGTGGTGGCAGCATCCCCAGCACCAGGGCAGGATCCTGCTTGGCCAGTTAACCAATTAAACATTGTTAACTTAATGTTTAACTGGTTAATCAGGATTTTACATCTTTACTACTCACATGCTTACAATTGAACATAGGCTTCAGAGTTTGCTAGAGTGAGGCCTTTATATTAGAATGTTTTATAATAAATAATCCAGAAGAGAGAGTGTTATTCAAATGGAGGGGGAAAATAATTTTTATAGGGTTAAATTAGAATTGATTTGTGACATCTTGGACATAAGACAGAATACATCTATTGAGGGGGGAAAAAAGCCAAGGACATGTGGTGATATGATAAAATATTTGTTCGGTCACTCTTCTGCTCAGTCAGAGAAAAGAGAACGAAGATGACCTATGGAGAGGGAGCAAAAATCTATTGGGAGAGATATGGAAAGAACTAGGGAGAGGGAGCAACGAGACCACAGACAGCACCAGACTAGATAGGGTAAATTAACAGAGACAGGAGACCACTGAACACATGCTACAAATCACGCAGGAACAAAACGACATACGGGGGAGCATAATACTCATGGACAATACCAGACACCATAACAAAGTCCCCCAACTGTAACTCTTTTCCCAGCAGCCATGCCTCTATCCACCCTCCTGCCCCCCTACACACATAGTAGAGTATTATGTTCCATGTTTCAAAATGCAGTTATTGATGTCACTATTTTCTGTTAGAGATGTATTGTTCCTGGATACTAAAAATGATTATCAAATGATTATCAAGATCTGCACAATCAGACTTAATTAGAATAATCACAGAGATAATCAGAAATGTGGCTCCTGACATATCCAGAGAAGCACCTTAGTTTTCTTTATAACACAAGAACTTCCTAAATGTGTTGAATATTTGAACAAAAGAGATATTAGTGTGTCTACAGATAATTGTGTCCTAAGCTATTTAACATCTAGTCTTCTTCATTACCATAATAAATGCCTTTGTTCTTTATAATAGTCTATCTTCACAAACTTAGTTTATCAGTTTACAAACACTTTTTGGTGGGTGTTAACTTTTTCTAAAAGATTTGTTTGTTTTTGGTATCTAGAAATTTAGCATTTAGTAGGTTATTTTCTATTACTTTCACACTTCTAACAGACAAACTCATACAATTCACAAATCCAAAAGAAAAACAGGGTTCAGTTTTAATCATCTTAGTACCGGTATTTGTTTATAAGAAAGTTAAGGGGGTTTTTTTTAATCAAAATTATCTTAAGTTTGTCAATGCCCCTTATATACCTTACAAATAGGTTATAACTGCAAACACTAAGAAAGCTGGGACTGTATTGAAATGTGCCAGCAGTTTCACTTCAAAGTATATATTCTTAAATCTCAAGGTATGTCTATATCTGTACAACCAACTTTTATGTTGACACCCAAAAGTTGACAAAACAAAAATCGCCAGAGGATGTTCACACTTGTGCCCTGTCAGTAGATCATGTCCATTTTGGGCTCACCATCATCAGCACTGTGAGCAATGCACTGTGGAAATGTATCCCACAGCGTAGTATTGTGAGAAAGCAGAGCAGATCCCTGCTCATCTTGGGATTCCCTCAAGGTATGTCTACACAGCATTATTCCAGAACTGATGTTATTCCAAAATAACATAGTGTGCATCTACACTACGAACCTTTATTTCAAAATAATGTTGATTTGGAGGACTTCTTTCTCCAACTCATGGTAACCTTCATTTCACGAGAAGTAAGGGAAGTTGGAGGAAGAGTGATGCTTCTCAGACTCTCCACTTATATAGACAGCGCCAAAATCTGATTTAAGCTATTTCAATTTCAGCTACGCAATTGATGTAGCTGAAGTTGCGTAGCTTAATTTGACTTTAGCCCTGCTGTGTAGATGTGCCCTGAGGGTTCTCCCACAGCTTCTTTTGTTGTCAGGAGCGGCATCATGAGCTCTGTGAGCTCTCTGTGCTGAGAAATGTCAAAGTAGCATAGCGTCTGTCTCCCTCTTTCCACAGTAGCAGTCTCCCTGTCACTGTGTTCCTTGTGCAGGGCAGAACAGGAGATTTGTTCTTTGTTCCCAAATGGAGCAGATCACTCAAGGGGAGGGGCTAATACCCGCAGGGCAGCAGAGATCAAACAAAACATTGAGCACAGTTTTCAGGGTAGGCATTGTGCGATACTGACGTGGGCAGCTGGTATGCTGGTGGGGGAAAGTCATTGCCTTCCCAAACTACCAGCCTGCCCCGCCCACACTCTGCCCCCAGAATGCCTACTCTAGGTGTACTGCCACATAATAGTTACCATAATGATAGTCTCTTTCTGGGCATATGGGCCAGATCATTTAAAGTTCAATTTAGGTTCAGCTTAAATACAAAGAATTATAAATGCAAGGCGTGCTGGAACTTTGGGTCACCTACAAAGAGTAAAAGACGTTATGGTAGTGTGGATTCATTTACTAATCATTTAAATCAGTATAACCAGTTTTAAACCAATATAAGAGTTCAATGGTCTAACTTAGTGGTCTAACTAAACTGATTTGCTAAACCAGTGTAACTTCTGTAGGTAGATATGTCCTTAGCTAAATTATTTAACCCCAGAATTATCTGATTTGTGTCAGTGTAGGGAGCTTACAGAGATTTAGCCAGATAAAAATCTGTAAAATCAGTTCAACTTTTCAAATGTATACTGAGCTACAGACACCAAGGCAGAGAGATAAATGAATTGTATGAAAAGTAAATAAATTGGAAAAGTTCAGAAAAATATTCTCAAATGTCCAATGTTATTTGTAGAAATATTACGTAAAAAAAGCTCATGGAGAGTATGACTTTTGAATTGATTTTTTCATTTTTATAAAGAAGTATTATAAAATCAGATATTTTTGGTGATGAAGGGTTTATGTAAGAATGACTTGCTCTATTTCTTCAATAGGAGTCACTGCTCTGGCCTTGTCCTGCCCTTATTTACGGGAAGCCTCATTTAAAAGATGCTGCAATGTGACAGACAATGGAGTTCTTGCTCTTGCACTGAATTGTCATCTTCTACAAATAGTTAACTTAGGCAGCTGCTCATGCATCACTGATGCATCCCTTCATGCACTTGGACAGAACTGCAGATTTCTACATAGTGTGGATTTTTCATCTACTCAGGTAACCAAAATAGCAACAATAAAAATGTAAAGGACGGTGACATAAATAAAATGAAGAAATGAGTTGCATTAACTGCATTTTTATTTAGCTGTGTTTTTAGCAGTGTTTTAAGATTCAAAACTCCAAAGGCACAAACATTTCCAGACACTGCTTCCCAATGAAATGGTATCAAATGGGTTCTGTCTTTTGATGATATAAAAATATTTTCTCTAAATCCAAATGACTAGTAATGACGTGTAGTCTGGAGCACAGATACCTTTTTTCAGGTATCGGGTTTTTTTTATAGTGCTGTTCCTGTTACTCTGTGCCATAGGAATATAATCTTACACCAGTTAATTAAATTCTTCTGACTAGGACTAATTGGCCTGGGGGGGGGTGGGGAAATAAGATGAATATGTGAGTCACTGAACCATTAAAAACATAAGTCATACATACCAGAATTGATTTTTTACTTCTCAAGGTTTAGTCACTCTTGAAAGAAAGAGTAAAATGTATAAAACAAAAGGTATGAGTGACATTGTAATCTGAAGTTTTAAAGGGGTAGCCGAATTAATCTGTAACTGGAAAAACTTAGTCTTTAAAGTGCTACCAGACTATTAATTGTACTCTGAGTCATCTGTTAGGTTTATGAATTGTTGATCATATGATCCAGCCAATGCTTAATCTGTGCTCTAGGCACGGCATTTCATAGACTTGGCACCTCTGGGCTTGCCGCATCAGCTATGAAAATAAAATAATAGCTTGAGTCCTGGCACACCTTTCATTACAATTTATGCCCTAGGTTATGCAGGGATTTTGGTCCTGTTACGTGATTTCAAAGAATCATAGAGTACTAGAACTAGAAGGAACCTTGAGAGGTAATCAGGTCCAGTTCTTTGCTCTCACAGCAGGACCAAGCATCATCTAGATCAGGTTCGAAACCTTTCCGAAGTGGCGTGCCAAGATTTAACCCTCCTCCCCTGGGCTGGGCCGCTCTCCTGGGAGATGGGGAGGGGCTCTCTCCAGCACATGCCCCACTTGCCCGGGCTACACTCCGGCTTTTCCTGTGGGAAGGGGAGAAGGAGCTTGCACGTGTTTCCCTGCACTTGGATGCTGGATCTGGGTTGGAGGTGGGGTGCAGGAGCAGGCTGAGAGTAGGGTGTCTGACTGAGAGAGGGGGCAGGAGTGGGCTGTGGGTAGGTATCTGGCAGGAGCAGCGTGGACAGGGTCCTAGCACAAAGGAGGGAGCAGGGGTGCAGGTCTGGCCGGCACTTTTTTTTTTTCCAGCGTCTGTAACAGGATTTATTTATTGTAACAGTCACTCCCACATGGCAGCCAGAAGCTGCTCCACACATGGAATAAATTAGCGGACCAATGGCCAACTGTGGAATGGCAGCTGCACCTCTCCAAGAGCGCAGGGAGTCTGGCTGGCAGGTCTGGGCAGGATCCAACCTGCTGGCACCTGGGTTACAGACTCCAGCAACCCCCCAGGGGCTCTCTGATGGGTGTAAGTGCACAGCGCACGTGGGCAGTGTAAGGCGGAGGAGGAGCCGTGCATGGAGCAGTGGGACACGGCCATGGCAGCAAAGGGTCCTTCACCAGCAAGATGGCGGCTGGGTCTGCTTTTGTCCCCTGCATTGCTCTCAGGCACCCTGTCCCAAGCATGGCTTCCCGCTGCTCCATTGGCCGGATTTTGGCCAATGGAGCAGCAGGAAAGGCCTGCAGGCAGCGTGCTGGTGTACTGCTTTGTTCCTCCATCTGAGGGAGGGGGAGCACGTGACCATGCACAGAGCCATTTGTGGCTCCGGCGTTTTCCTCGCTCGCTCGGGGCTTTCTCCACTCCCCTGCCACTGATAGTCATTTTGCATGCCACATATGGCACACGTGCCAGATGTTGCCAACCCCTGATCTAGATCATCCCTTTTTCCTAGATCATCCCATTTATTTTTCTTCAAAATAAAATATCTCGGCATTGCATGCTCCATGTAGAGCTCGGGGGATTTTTTTGAGCGGACGGGGGCAGGAAGAAGCTGCTTGAATCACACAACCTGTAGAGGAAGGCACTCTCTCAGACACAGAGTTAGCTGTCTAATTTAGACAGGCCTCCCAGTTGAAATGGCTCCTTTGATGATTTTTTTTCCATTTAAAGGCTTGTGGATGGAGTATGTTTTAAGAGACAGGATATGAAGGAGAAGAGAGTAGTTGCCTGCTGCATAAGGAGAAGGAAATCTCTAAGTAGAGTGGAGAGCTAGAAGATTGCATGAACGCCAGGGAAGGAATGGTTGAGGTGGTGCAATGCATTGGATGGACTTCTAGGAGAGAAATGGGGATAGGAAGAAATAAGAGCAGGACTGCATGCAGGAACAGCGGAGAGCAGAGTTTCTCAAACTACAGTGGGAGTTAGCTCCCATGTTTGTGGACGAAGAAAGGTCTCAATCCCTTGATTTCCTGTCCTTCTCCCACAGCCTAAACTTGCCATGGGTAGAGGCTGCTTCTCAGCAGCCTCCCCTCCCACACTCTCCACCCCCACGTTGCTGCCTCTGATAGAGGCAGCAGTGCGGTGGGGCAGGGGGCAGTGCAGAGACAGTGCTGGATGGAACTGGTATCTGCATCAGCAGATGTCAATGCAGATACCTGTGTCTCAATTTTTGTATCTGCACAGTGCTCTAAAAACATGCTTTATTTGAATTGACATTTTTGGTCTGTGCCACATCATTAACTTACCAAGAAACTTACCAAGATTATTGGGAAATGAATGGATTCAAAAAGCTTATGTAAGCAGTACAAATACTACTTTATGGTCCTCTGAAATACTAATACAGGTTGGGAGATGAGAGCTTACACAGGTATGGAACTAGCTGTGGGAGGAATGAATGGAAAAGATGGATAAAAAGGATATTTGCCCGACCTTCATTGGGCACTTGGGGTTAGCAGGATAGTGTAAACTGGATCGTTATACCCTACTTGTGATGCACTCCACTGGCTACTTCCTTTTATTTTTATTTTCAGTGGTCTCCAAGGGCTTATGAGTACAAGAGAGATAGGGACTGTCGTGTTATATGGATGGGGTTTTTGTGCAAACAGGTTAACACGCTTGTTTATTTGGATTTTACTTAAAGTCTTCGTGTATTTTTTTATGTTATTCTCTTAAGAGTGTCACGTTGTTGCTCTAGTAAAGGACTTGTTAGTGATTTGTGCAGTTTGCATCCTAATTAATGAAACAATAGGCTACCAGAGCCTGCTCTGGGGGCTGCCTCTAAGAAGGAAGTGAAGTAGTTACTTCAGATCTGTGAAGGGGGACAGCTACTGCTGGGGGAAGGAGGGGAATGTAAATAAACATCTGAAATTTTTTCCCAGCTCAGGATAGAGGGGTAGCCTAAAATACTTTAAATGCAGAGCCGCAGAGGGGTATCTGGGTCTCAAAATACTTCAAATGCAGAGCCACAGTGGGGGTAGCTGCCAGGCCTGGGTGCAAGCCAGGACTGAGCCAGCCTGACTGCACACTAGCTCCCAAGCTCCTTTCAGTGCAGAGCTGCAGTGGTTAATCATGTAACCAACAACATTTTTGTCAGCTACACAGTTACTGGATTACACACTTCCTAACATCCCTACTAGACACCACCCATTACCTTGTACACAGGGGTTCGATCACATCTATCATGCTGTCAGTTTAGACCCTGTCCTGAACTTGGGTAGGTATGTTTGTTATTTGTGAATAGTGCATTGGTACCAAGATGTTTCTTCACAAAGTGTACTGTTCCGACCCCTCTGGAATGCGCTTCCAGCCTGTGCCTAGTACCATCTAGTGTTTTACACCATTAACCCTGTTCATGCCAGATTCTGTTAGCAAAGCCTGCTTCTTGCTCAAAGCTTAGCTTTGCTTTATATTAGCAAAGTTTTGACTATTGTGCCTAGGCATCAAGCCTCACACTAGGGCTGTGATACGTGGGTTTGTGTTTCAGGTGTGTGGGAAATCTCGTTCCCCTGGGGTACAGAGCCCCCAGAAGGGTCCGAGGCCGGAGGTCAAATCAAATCAGTGAGGCAGGAGAGAAACCTAGAAAGGAAAACTTTATTATGCATGCATGCAGGCTGACAGCAGAGCCATTGCAGTCAGCCCTGAGTTACAGGTTTTTGGATCCTTTATACAGAATGCTTAGACAGTTCAGTTGTGGATTGTTTTTCTTTAACATATCAAAGTCTCAGCAGAAGTACTCTGAGATGTTTCTGTTCACACCAGGAGTGCTAGAAGTAAGTTTTACAGTACAAAGCCACATCAGAACTTGAGTGGAGAAGTCTACAAGGCAAACTGTGACAAAGATAAGGGTTTACATGACAAATTGTGACAGACTAGGAGTATCCATGAACTTGAGATAGGCATTGTAAGGGCCTTGATTAGAGTTAATTTGATTTCTCTCTGTTACAGGGAGAGAGGCCTGGAAAACTTTTTAACCCTTACAGCAGTTTTCTTTTAGAGAGTTTTGATTTCCTACACAGTCCCCCCTTTAGACACAATTGGAGTTATTTGATTTTTCTCCTACACAGGCCATCATCTTACTACAATAACTTCCTATTTTTAAAAACTAAATTATTTCAAGTGACCTGTAAATAGCATAAAGAATCAAGAGGCATAAGCCCAATTAGAAAAATACTTTGCAGATCACTCTTAAGAACTAAGGGACACTATATTATGGGGTTTTTTTATAAACAATTATTTTCCTTTGTTGTCCCCTCAAAAAAGTTAAGATTTTTTTTAGTCCTTATATTTGTGTTTGCAGTCTACCATGTTATATACATTGCTGGTAAGATTGGTCAAGTCATTATGTGGGCACATGTAGAGTGAGAGAGCATATGCAGGCCTGTAACTAAAGACCACAGTTTTGCCCAGTTTTATATGGGACGTTTTTCTTTTCTGGTGAGGTGGCTCACATGAGGATTACCTGTGTTGTGCATGTGTCAGATTGTTTGGTTTCAGTTAGCTTTAGATTTGTGTTGGTATGTCTTTGTTATCTTAATGTTTTATTAGTTTCATTGCATGACAGTTTTCTACCTGATGATTTATGGGCCATATAAATGTTTCAAAGAAATGATATCAGACTTGAGGCTTTAACATAGACATTCTATGGTCTGTGCTGTTTCCTTCAGCAAAACATCCTCCAAAATAAAATCCTTATACTACAATAGCAGCTAAATGTCAGCTGAGCTAGATTTACTGTTTAAATGGCAAAACAGGTAATGTTATTTGTAGACAAGCAAAGAACAAATTCATTTCATGTACAGAGAATGTAAAATTATTGAATAATTCCATGGGAAACATTCACTATGTTACAAATTGGGGGTAAACCTATTGACGTCCCATGGTTACACTTGGTAGGTTTTACTACTGCACGTCCTTTAAAACAGCTGAAACAGTTCAGCTCCAGGCCACTGAACAATGCATGCATTGTTAGGCCTAGGAACTTTGCTAGGTACTATATGAGTGGAAAGATTATGGGTGAGGGATAAGCAGATTATGGGTGAGGGATAAGCAGAGAGAGGTAGAGAAACAAAGGAGGAAGCTCCAGATACATTGTGGGAAAAAAATCCACTTTGCAGCCTTCGAGAAGCATAGAAGAGTGCCTTTGGGTTGGATGCTGGATGATAATGAGGTTGAGCCATGAGCAAGAAAGTAATCGCATGATTGGTTCTTCTTGTGTTTAGGTAAACAGGACTTTCTACAGTTTATGTAAATAAACACAATGGCATTAAAGTACTACCCAGCTCCATCACCAAAGTCTCCTCCCAACTGAAGTAATCTACACAGGACCCTGTATTTTTGGGTAGTCAGTTGAGTGAAAGTGGGTAATATTAGGTGAATTGGGAATCAACAAAGCAAAATGTACCAGCTTTCTAAACACGTCCTTATCTCAATACTGATATATGATGAAATATACAAACCTCTCAAAGCTCATTTCTGTGGTTCTTGTGGTTCATATTGTTATAAAACATTCTGATGTCAAGTGTAGCTGATATGGTTTTGTGGACTGTCTTTCTTCTGTATTGCATGAATACATTATTGAATGCATTACATTTTACAGATTTCAAATTTTCATTAAAGATCTTGAGTTACTTTAAACTGTCTTTATAGTAAACATCTGCTTATCTAAAGGTAAAGTCTTAATTAGAGAAATGTTCTAATCAGTTCTAAAACTGTTTAGAATCATAGTGAACTTGTGGATTTAGGCAGCTGAAGGTAGTCTGATCCATTTAAAAAGATTGTTGTACTGTATGCTGTGTTGTTGCTGCCATGTCGGTTCTATGGCCTTAGGGAGATAAGGTGGATCTTTATTAGACCAACTGCTGGTGGTGAGAGAGAGAAACCTTACCCACCTTGTTCCCCCATTTTTAAAGAGCCAGTTTCAAAACCATACTGGGTGAAATTTACCTGTGCTGTAAAAGCCAGTGAAATTGTACCTATTTATAGTAGCAATGAATTTGGCTCTGCATTTTGTGTTTAGTTCAAGACTATTAGAAATAAAATTTTAAGTAGAGAGTAGACTTCAAGAACTTGCCTACACTACTTTTTCAGAAGAGTCACCTTGTAGTACTGCTCAGTCATTGGCAGAAATACAAGGAGTGCTAATCCAGACAAGGCATGGCATTTTTCAAAACCTTGTATTAAAAATGTCAATGCTCTGTATATGCTTGTGCTCCCATTGTTGCTGCCTCTGGTAGAACTGCACTGGGAGGGCAGTGCAACAGTTGACAGTTGCTTAACAGAAACGAGTGTAGAAAGAACACAAGTGTGGCCGTGTAAACTGGATCACGCAGCACAAATGCTACAACAGGACACCTGTATTGGTTAGACTACCAAGTAGTCTACATTAAATTTAAAAAGTTATAGTCTAAATAAAATTTTAAACTACTAAGTAGAAATATGTATTTCTATAACTCCATGTGAGAACTATGGGTATGTCTACAGTACAGACTTATTTCAAAGTAACTCACATTATTTCAAAACAACAAGGTGAGTGTCCACACAGCAAGCACATTATTTCGAAATAACAGACTTCTTATTTAGAAAGAATAAACCCTCATTTCACGAGAAATAACACTTATTTCAAAATTGCTATTTCAAAATACGGTTTGTGTGGACAGCGCAACAATGCTTATTTTGAAATAATTGTCCTCCAGGGCTTCTCACAGCTACCCCAGTGGCCACTCTATCCATATCCCTCAAAACTCTATAGTTTCACTTCCCCTGCAGGCTTTAAAGCTGCAGGCAGAAGGGAAAGGGCTTGTGGCAAGACACAGGCCCTGCTCACATCCTGCCACACAGCAGGACCTTGCACTGCCTTCCCTGCTGCCAAGGCAGACCCCAGCACTTCCTCCGAGCAACCTATGGCTGCAGGCATACCAGCAGCCATGTCAGAAGCCCCTGGGCCCCATCCTGGACTCATGTGGAGATCCTGGATCTCATAGAGGTGTGAGATTAGCTGCATTACCCTCATGACACCCTCTCTTTTGGCTTTCTAAAAAAATATATAAGTGCCATTCTTTTATCCAATATGCCAATAACAAATTTTTTTTCCAGGTGACAGATGATGGCGTCATAGCACTAGTTAGTGGAATGTGTTCAAAGAATTTAAAGGTAATTCATCTAACCTGTTCTAAGTACAAAGCAATGTTAAAAGTGAACACATTTTTTGCCAATACATTTTTAAAATTGCAGAGGACAATTATTTATAGCATCAAGTTACATATTTACATTTGCATGTACGACTGTGAGCATGAGTCAAGTTACCAGGTGATGTCATAGGTGTAGATTGCAGTATTGGAGGGGATCATTTCCCTGCTGGGGGTGCCGCTACCAGGGGAGACACCACATACCTCACTCCTGCTTCCCTCTCTCTTCCATGGCATCTCTCCATTCTCCCCACTATCCCATGTCCCATCCTCCTCAGTCCCATCCTTCTGGGCTCTTCCTCCACTGCCTCAGAGGGGTTCTCTCATTGCTGTAGTTAACCTACCTTCCCAAGAGGCAGTAGCTAGGTCGATGGAAGAAATCTCCTAGCACTGTGTGCACTGAGGGCTAGGTTGGCAGTGCTCACCTCTCAGGGCTGTGGACTTGTACTCTTGAGAAGCGTAGTATGCCAGGGTAAGTTTTCAGTATAGAACAGCCCAAAGTGGAATAAAAAAAAAAGTCATACAGCAAAAATTGTTCTTAAAGACTAGTGGACTTTTTCACATCAATGTAGCTGTAGTAATAGCCATCTTTGGCAATGCAAGGGTCAGCAGAGCAGGAAGAGTTGAGGCTTGTTTGAATTCATATGAATGCATTCAGAATTTAAGTCAAGTTTCCTCTTTATAATTAACAACTATAAGAGGCCATGTTATAGGGCAGCTGGCCCTTTAAGGTGAACTGGGCCCAGCCTCACCTGTGACTGCTGAAGGCAAAAGAACTCTGGGTCCCGGTAGCCTGCTTTGGTAAGGAGAATAGCTTTGTGCGTCACCTTATGAGTCTTATGTTTGGAGAAGACTGTGCCATAAAAGAAGGACCCAAACAGATTTTGGGGGTAGTGTTAGTCTTTCCTGATGATGCATGTTTAAATTTTAATGATAAAAGATACACCAAAATAACTCCCTTCACTGGAATATAGTTAATCAGAAATTATTGAATAGTAGAACACAGAGAGGAATGTGTAGGTCATGCAGTCCTGAGTGGCTCACAGTGCCTACCTTAGGGCAAACTGTCAAAAACAAAGCAGATACCCCAGGCTGGTGGTATGTTCTATAATTAAATTTCATCAACACAAGGAATAACCTGCCAGTTTCCCAGAAGTCTTTTAGGGCTAACCAGAGCAATTCTGGTTCTCTCTGTCTTCAATTATTCCACCCTGTTAGAATCCAAACAGTACAAAGATGAAGGATTTTCCTTTGTTTCCAGATTTATGTGTGTTCTCTTTGAACAATCTAACATAGCTTTGAGAGAGGGATGCTTTACACGTCTTTGAACTCTGAATGCCCTCAAATTGCTTTCAAGTGTGGAAATACATTACCTTTCTCAGAGAGGTAGTAGTGTTAGTCTGTAACTTTAAAAACTGCTTAAAAAAAAAGAGTAGTCCTGTGGCATATACAGTATATTTTTGTTAGTCTCTAAGGTGCCACAGGACTTCTCATTTTTTAAAAGTTCTTTCTGATAAGAGTCCTCTCTGTGCATTACACAAGCTTCTTTCATATTTGCAGTATTTAGATATCGGGGAGCGGGGGGAAGAGAAATCATATACAATGGAAAAAATTAAAGAGATAAAAGGTATATGAAACCAGTGTATAGAAAGTCTCATTAATTTTATGAAATTTAAACACCAAACACATTCACAGACATTTAATAGCCTGGTTTGATGGTCTGCTAAGATACAACTGAATTCGCCTGACTTCCATCTGTGAATTTGTCTGTTTTCATCTGGGCCTACCTGTAATACAGATGGAGAGGAGACACCACCAAGTGCAGAGTGACGGTGCTTTTCTCACTTCTGGCATGCTCATAAATTCTCCGCTTTTGCTTCCCACTCCAAGTCCATAAACTGTGCCTCCCCCCCCCCACTTAGTCCCCAGGGCAGGGTGGCCCAATGATCAGAGTCCATAACTCACCGCAACTTGTGGGGGGATAGTGTGGCCCAATGGCCACAGTCTATAACTTGCCCTGTTCAGAGCAGAGCAGTTCAATAGTCCAAGTAAAAAACTTACCTCCACTCATGGGTTGATGCAGTCCCCTCGCAAGGGACAGGAGATAGGGGAGGAGTTTACAGTCCCTGGCGGGGTCCAAGCCCCCCTCCCATTCCACTGGACCCCAGCCTAGGGCCCTGTTACTGGCTTTCTCTAGCCACTGAGTCAACAGGGAAAAGCTCCGTCCAAAACACACTGACTCCCCGCCAGTGGCTCACTCAATATGTAGCCATCGCCTTACCTGTGCTGCTTCCTGCTACAGTTACCTCAGCTCCCTCATGGATCCCCGTCTCCCCTTCTTTGAGCAGGATCTTTCTGCTCCTGCTTGGCTCTGGAACCTGTGAGTTCACTGGGAGCATCTGACCTCCAGCCTGTGAGGTAGCATGTCAGTATTTGGGTAGTCACTGCGGTTTGCCAGGAGCTGGCAATGCGTGTTCTCTCCCTTCCGCCACCAACCGCAATTGAGCTGAGCTGCTCCCTTTTATAGCTATGCAGCTCGAGCATGCCCAGTAACATAAAGGGGGTAGGGCTTTCTCAGCCTTTAGGGCTGGGTTAACCCCCTCCTGCTTGGTGTGGCCCTGTCACTCTACAGTTCTGAGCAAAGCTGGCCTCAGCATCATAATATACTTTACTGAACTAATCTGACAACTGAAGGAGTGAGTGCAGCACAATCCACTCCCA